CTCACTTTAAGAGATGGGATACAAAGGTTTATCCTTTGCTGATCCGCTTTTGTGGTAAGGATACTTTAAAAAATAATTCTAGTAACAGCCACCATTTATTTTTTATATACATATTTCTGCCATCTTTTTTTCTGATGAAAACCCCTGGGCTTTAGAGAAGTGAAACAACCTGCCAGTTGTCACACATCAGGTAAGAGAAGAACCAGCTTATGCTTTTTCAAACAAGCCACCAAAAATCCATCGCAGAAGCCATGCTCATGCTTCTCCTCTAGATCTTACGATTTTTTAATAATTTTCGAGAAAGGAAAAAAGATCTCCTTCTGGAAGAAAATAACCTATCAGCTCAGCTTTGGGGACTGATGACCACTGAAGGATGATTCTACTACTGGTAGAGAAATTAATGAGTGGGCTTTAATGTCCACACACATTTAGAGTTGATGACTCCAAATGAGCAAAGGGCTGGAAAAGATTTCAGCCGTAACATTTTATGAGACCAGTTATCTGCTTCCTTTTTGCAGGAGGGAAAGTCTCAGAAATTTACGCTGAATTTTTACCAACCTGTCTATAGAACTAATGGGATGTAAGGTTCAGGTACTTACTTCTAAAGGTTATTAATGACATCCACATTAGACAGCTACAGCCACCATTATGTCCGTGTGACACTTCTCTTTTTACACTCTACCATTTGGCCACAGGCAAAAAGCAGCTGAGTAAAATGCAGTTTTAAGAACTCTGTGTTTAAGAGCGCCAGGTAACACTGTCCTTCAATCAAACAATGCTCCCTCCAGAAAGAACACGTCTAAATAGGCTACAGAGCGCCATTCTCGACAGCCAGACAAGCAACACCTGCAGTGACATCTTTTGAAATGTCCTATATGTAAAACTACATAAAGCTAAGAGAAGAGTGGCAGATGAATGGGCTACAAAATTATCCTACCTCTCAACCCATTAAAAGTTGTTAAAATATGTGCCTGCGTTTCTAAGTATGCATCTGAAGGTGAACAACTCAAAAGCGTATGCGTTTGTGAGAGGAGAGAGGGAGGGGAAGGAGGATGAATGAACCAAGACAGGAGTCCGGGAGAATATGCTCATCTCTAACAGTTGAATAACACCTCCCCCACCTAGAACTTTGCAATACAGCAACTTCCCCTTCTCTGCATTACTAAAGAGCAGGGCCGTTAACCTAGAAAAGCACTTCTCATCTTTATATGGAGACATATTACTTTTATTTCATGCACAGTCCTAACAAGCTTGGGCGTCTGAATACACAGAGAAGATATAGGGTACTGCAAATTAGAGAGAGACTGCTGGAGAAACCACACCAACAGAAGCTGGCCACCAGAGGATCCAGAAAGATTATACAAACTGGACATAAGAACGCAAAAATTCCTTAAGAATCAGAGGCCATTCAGGGTAGGACATGGAACCTTTCGTACCACTCCAGGCCGAGCAGCATCCCTGGGTCACAGCGGAGTGCAAGCAACACACGTTCTCAGAGATGCACAGACATCCAGCCACGCCTGTGTCAAGCACAGGGCATCTGCACTAGCTGATCCCTCTGCCTGGAACTCTCGTCCCTATAACCTCTTCAGATGATGGGCCCCTTCTTCTCACCCAGGCCTCAGAATAGAAGCCCCTTCCTCCAAAAGGCCTTTTATGGTCAACCTAAAGCAGCACACCCTCCTGCTTCCCAGTCACTCTCTCATATACCTCACACTAGATATTCCAGAGCACTACACACCCCGATATGATCCTGTTCATGACCTGTTCACCATAATGGTATTTATCTCCCTCCACTGGAAGAATGAAAGCTCTATGGAGACAGGGGCCCTGCAGAACCTGTTCGTGGCTGAATTCCCATTCCCGGTGCTTGGCAGATGGCAGATGTTCCAAAAATGTTTATGAAATGAAGTAACAAACGATGAAGAAATGAATTCCTCAGTATTCTCAGCTCCCCAAACAGGAAAGGATGCAATGCAAGACTTGCCTTGCAAATGGCTGAATAAAGTTCTGAATTCAGAAAACATGGCCCTCTGTAATTCCTCCCGATTGCTCTGAACAGCCAAAGTTTAAATGTATGTGTTAAATAAATGTGTGTGTGACACATGTATGAGGCATATGACCACACAGTACCACGAGTAATGGTTTAACA